CATAGAAGTGTTAATGCCTCACTGTCTAATTTACCCCTTTCTCACTGAAGAACGTAGGCGAGATATATATTGGTTTTGTTTGGAGAAAGATTATGCAGCACAGATGTAGTATTTAAGGTGTGTGCATGTTTTCAATGCTTGGCTGCTGGATTTAAGATTTTATTTCTGCTCTATCTCCCTACCCGTAATTTCCCACATACATTCTATTTAGATATTTACTGATTTCTAAGAACTTGCTGCTATTGGCTTACAAAGTAAATAATGTATGAATATTTCTATTGTATGGAAGTTAAGATGCATTTCATTTATATTTTAGAAGCAAAGAATTTAAAGACAAAGCTATGATTCAAAATTTTTATGATGCTATGATAGAATCAACCTTAAATTGATTAAAATACTCCTGTTTAAATCCAGATTCTTTAATATACCAGAACAACAAAAGTTTTTCAAAGCCCACAAGTCATTTAAATTGAGTTTACATCTATTTTGCATCCCTGGAGCAGTGCAAATTAGAGAAAGCACACTAGGGAATTGAGCCCTTATGTCGGTTCGGTCAAGGCACAGGTTACATGGTGGCTGGGCAGGAGGAGCAGAGCAGACCCCCAGTTCATCTGTTTGTGTGCTTCAAGCATTCCCCAAGGTCCCTGCCACCATCACACCACTTGGCTGCTTCCTCTGTGTGTGCTAGAGACAGCAGCCATGCCAAGGAAAACCTTTTGAGAGCAAATACCCGACTTCAAGTGGAGACACAAAATCTCTGTAGAAAAGAGCTCTCTGAAATGGTTAACTTTCCAGAGAATCAGAGTGAGACACACATGCAGCTCACTTCCTCAGACCCTCTGCAGCCAAGACCTGCAGGAGTGCCAAGCTGAAGTGCTGGGCTTCTTTGGAAGAGCCAGCAGCAAAGCTATTCACACAACTCTACTTACAGCCTGTATAGCCATACACATTATCTATAACCACGAATAGATAAACTTAATTACAACTTAATCTATTCACTTATTTTTATACCCTATGCACAAGCTTTTAATTAATTAATGGTATGGAAAGTTTGATTGCATTATTTCATTATAAAAACTACTTAGAGGAAAAGGGTATGTCAACAGAAATGCTAAGTTTTGTGAAGGATTTATTTTTAATGAATTTTAGCTCAAGCCAATTAGGACATGAATTTTATGTTCTTAGAAAACTCATCCTGTATTCATAGAATAAGCTATATACTACTAGTATGGTAGGGATATATTTTTCACTGTAAAAGCTGAAATCTTGGTATGAGTGCAAAATAAATCCCTGGCATCATGAAGCCATGACCAGGAGGGAGCTAATGGAACAGTGATGAACATCTCTGTAAGAGCTAATAGTGTCTCACTTAGTACACTTCTTGTGTATTCCTAAAAATCTCCCTACGTTCATAGTTAAAGGCATGCATGTGAAGCATACAAGTAAGAGAGTGCTATTTAAAAGTACTAGGATTGTAACATTTATTTAGGGTAATGTATTTTTAGTGAACAAAAGTGTATATACCATATATATACATCTACATATATATGTGTTTTGCTACATATACACCACTTGTAAGTAGAAAATCATGTCTGAGACTGGAAGCTGACATTCCTCCTATCCTGTCCCCATAACAATACCACTCAGCCTCTCCTCCTTTTAGTCTTTTGGGAGATGGGGATTAACACATTTGAGGTTTCCAGCATTTTATTTTTTGAAGAATTTCACAGCTCATGGGTTTTTACCCTTCTCTACTGTATCACGTTCTGCTGTAATTGTGTTGCTCCAAGTTGTGTCTGCTGCCAAATTAAAACTGTGAGAACTTCTGTGTCTTTGGGTCTGGGTTGTGCTTTTGCAGTTCCCTGGTCTCCTATTCCTTTACTATTCTTATGACAAAATCAAAGAGGAGCTACCACTGAGATCAGGGAAGTATTCTGCAATGTTAATCTGATCAATACCTCCTCAAGCAGGACTGAATTCAGGAGCACTCTTCTGAAGAAGAATTTGTGTTATAGCTCCTTACAAATCAGCTGCATTTTATGGCACATTTAAACTTTCCTTTTGAAACTGTGCATGTTGATGCACATCCTTATAATGAACATTACACAGAACAATTATAAAATGATGCTACTTCAAATGTACAGAGTTCATATATATATATATATATATATATATACACATATATACATATATACATATATATATGCGCCTTGACATACAGCCTGCATTTTGTATTTAATATACTTGTTAAAAAATAAGAATTGCAGTTAAGAATAAAATATTTCATCTTCTTTTCGGGGTAGGTAGAAAACTGCATTGGGATAGGGAATTTTTCACCAAGCTGTCAGTCAGATTTCAATTCAAATCAATAGTGCAGGGAGTATTTTTCAACAGACAGCTTTTCAGTAGCCTACTTGAAACCAAGTTTAAGGGTTCAGGGCAATTCTTTGTACCTAAGTGTCCATGTTGCATAACAAGAAGAAGAAAAACTATTCTTATCTGTAGATTTCAAGAAAAAGACCAAGGGCTGAGTACAGCTTTACAGTCCTGGGCAGGCCTCTCAGCTTGGTGATAGGTAAAATGAAGGGACCTGACCTGCCAGTGCTGTACCTGCTCTGGTTTCAGAGGACACTTCCTGGCACCTTACGTAGACACAATATGTGCTCCCTGTCAGCTAGGGAGCACTGAGTGAAATTACCAGGCAGCAGGTTCATAGCAAACAAAAGGAAGTAGTTTTTCACACAAATCATAATTAAATTTTGGTGCTCATTTCCACAGAACAGGGTTGAGACCAAAGCATAAACAGAGTTTTTAAAAGGGAGTAGGGAAACTCAAATTTTATTATATATGATGGTCTGAGAGCAACCTCCAGTTTAAGAAATCCATGTTCTGTGTGTTGCTGAAACTTGAAAGGATACGCCAGGAAAAGATCCCTGTGTGCCAGTCCTATTTCTTACGTTTTTCTCCTTCAGCATCTGCTAATGACTGTAGTCAGAGCCAGGATATTGGACTAGATGTTCAACTCACTTTAGCAATTTATTTGATCGTATTCTTTTAATTAAATTATGTTCTTATTTTGGCTACTTAAAAGGATCTAAGGCCTTGATGGAGAAAGGCATTTAAATGCTTTAATGCTCACGTTATTTCAGGGAGGTGAGTACTTGAGTGTATCATAGCATTTGCGTTTTAGGCCATAAAGTTACTGGGGTGGGGCTCACCCATCTTTTAATAGGACTTTGCTTTTTCTGGGTATGAGCTAGAATAAAAATATGTATTTGACAACAATGATAACAGAGCGCAACACTGTTTTTCTATAAAGGTTAAATAATTTTTTTGCCTAAATGGCTTGTGCCACAGGTAAATTCCCCAGTGATTTATGTAAGGATGATGACACTAGCATCAACTGATGTGAAAAAGAATCAACTTCCTTTATAGAACTCCCAACATTTGTAATGCATGAACATTACATTTCTAGGAAGCTATTTTTCACCTGTTACCCATAATAGTATTGCCAGCCAATATGTAACTTATATTTACCTAGAAGGGTACTTCAGATTTCATCCATTTTGCAAAAGCATCCTGGCTGCAAACCTATGACACACATTGGTGAAAATCCAGATACAGAAACGAAGAAACTGAATACCGAAAACCATAAATCTCACCCCTGCTATTTCTAAGCCTGGCAGCGCCAGTAAGGTTTCCTTCTACATCAACAAGAAGAGATAGAGATGAACGTTAGGCTGGCAGCCGAGCCAGCGAGGCAACCTCGGCATTCTTAATTGCGGGCGGTTCCATCCCGAGGAGAGGCGCAGCCCCGCAGGAGCAGCACACGGCGGGTCCGAGCAGCGGCACCGCATCCCCGCCGCACCGAGCGCCGCGGCGGCGGCGGGTGTTCCCGGCAGCGCGGGGAAGCCCCGCTCCGCTCGGGGCCGGGCACGGCGCACCGGGAGCATCCCTGCCGCCGGCCGCGCCCGGCCACCTGCTCCTCCCGCGGCCCCCGCCCGCCTCCCGCCGACATTTCCCGGGGAGGGGCGGGAAGGAGGCCGGGGCAGAGGATGGCGGTGCCGCAGGGCACGGCGGGCGGGGGAGGCTGGGTGCCGCCCGGGGCTCCGCGGCCGCTGCCCCCGGGGGTTCCCCGGCCCCGGTCCGGCCCGGCCAGGGGGGGCAGCGAGAAAGGGGGCAGAGGGAGGGAGGGAGGGATGGGAAAGCAACTCCTGATCTTAGAGCAACGACTCGCTTGCTCACCCTCACCTTCCGCCGGCTCCTCGGATTGAAATAACAACAACAATAATATTAATAAAAATTACACCACCTCTCCTCGCGCGAAGCAGACCCCACGTTACAGGCAGGGGAAGGTCAAGAGGAAAGACAGGAGCAGCGCTGCCTCGCCTCCGATCTGGCGGCTGTCACACCGCCAGCCCGTGTCCCCGGCTTCCCCGGGGGCGGCCCAATCCCTCCCCCTGCCGGGCTGGGCAGCATCGCCCGGCGCGGCGAATGCCCCGCGGCATCCCCAACACAAACCGGGGGGCGGCGGAGATGGGGGGCGCGGGTAGAGCCCGGCGACACCTCTCCCCACCCCTTTGTGCATCGCGGGCACAACACACACACACACACACACACACACACACACACACACACACGCTCCACCTTGCAACCTCGGCGCCGAAGCCGCCCGTTGTTACACACGCACACACAGAGGCACGCTTATACACACCCTGTCACCCCGAGAATACATTTTCTGTGGCACTCTACCGGCATCCATCCATCCATCCATCCATCCATCCATCCATCCATCCATCCATCCATCCCTCCATCCATCCATCCATCCATCCATCCTCCCTATGGTCTCCCTCCCTCCTTTTCCTCTTCCCCCCGTACATCCCTCCCTTTGGTCGGTGTGGTTTTCCCCCCACACACACCCTTTGCATCACTATAAAGCAGACATTTTGGTGCCGTTTATCACGGTTCAGGCTGAAATAAGCGCGGAGCGCCTTACCCACCCCCGCCCGGCTGCGTGCAGTTGGCGCTGAGCGATCCCGGGAAGGGCTGGTGCGGCTCGTCCCCTAGCGCAGCTGCTCCGCTGCCATCCGCCCAACTTCAGCACCCAGCCGGCGGGGAGAGGGCGGGAGGCGGCGGCAGGCGGGCGGGCAGGGAGGGAGGGAGGAAGGGAGGGAGGGGGGCAGCGAGAGAGAGCGAGAGAGAGGGAGAGGTTGGGAGGGAGGGAGGGAGGGAGGGCGGCGGAGACGAAGGGCGGGCGGGAGGGTGCGAGGAGCGGCGCGGAGCGGGGAGCCCCCGCACATGCGCTCTGCCGCCGGCGGCGGGAGTTCCCCGCTCGGCGCGGCCCGGCGGGGGAGGCACGGCCCGCCCCGGCACGGCCCGGCTCGGCTCGGCTCGGCAGCGCCGCCCGCCCGGCCCGGCCCGCTGGGTCGCAGGGACACTTCCCGGCAGCCAGGGCCGGGGGACTCCGCCAGCGGAGCGGCAGCATCCCCGCTGGTGGGCGGGCAGCGTGCTCAGTAAAGCGCTAGAGGTGCCGGGCTGCGGTTTTGGTTTTGTTTTGGTCCCCACATCACTATGTCCAAATAGATTAAAAAAAATAGAAAGTCCATAAACCGCTATCCGACACTTTATTCTCCTCTGAAGCCAAGGGAGAGGCAGGGATTTAGTGGCCAAGTAACTTTTTGATGGTGGGCACCTGAAGCACAGTTTGGGAGTAAAGAACCAGAGTGGATCTGCATGGATCTGTCGGTGTCAACCATGAGAATCAAGATCAGGATGCTCTGAAAATCTGACTGTGAATCCGGAATCCTGACAGGTTTTGCCAGTTAGTTTGTCCCATCTTTCCAAACTCCAGTTTCCAAATTTTGGCTCAATAGAGAACGTTTTTTAGCTTTCCTTCTGCACCTTAGAAATCTGAGCCTGATATGCCTCCAGGTAACAGCACTGGAAAAGTACATGTTTGGCATCTGGATCCTGTCAAATCATGCCATGAATCCAGAAATGTTAATAACTCAGGAGAGGGCACATTACTACATTTACCATTTCACTAAAACAGCCTGGCAAGGTGGTACTAAAAGCACAAGGCTGCATTAAGGTGGTTGGTTCTGTGGCTTGCCATCAATGTGTACCAATTCTCTTTGCAAAACTGGTCAATACACCTTTGTATTTCATCTAGAGCCCAAAGTGGAGTGCTGCAAAAACTGAAGCCAAAATCACACATATGTTAGTAGGGCTGAAATTAAAAGGATTTAAAGCAGTCCAGAACAGCTAGCTTCCATGAGAGCTGTAAGAGCATAGGCACATCAAAACAAGCCCGGCTCTCGGGAATCTGTACTCAAAACACAACTAATTTAAAATGTGACAGTAGCAGCCATGGTTGTCTGGTTTACTTTTTGTCTTCTGGGATAGAAGCTTCAGATTCTGAATCTCACAAGGACTAAAGTCAGTGTTAATCTCCCAGAAAGTCTCTCCCCTTAAAACCACAACTTCTTTTTTCTTCTGATCTTAATGCTTGTGAAGAAAAAGTCCTTCAACTTGAAGCCACAACTCAGTCTGATTACCAAAGACTATTGGCATGACAATTTGGTAGTCTTTATAACCTAAGTTATATTCCCTATCACTAGAAACAGTGCTCAAAAGAGTACTGTAAAGGATAAAATGTATCTCTGAAGCATTAACAGTGTTTTATATTTAGTTAATTGCAATGCTTACAATCTTGACTATCTTTCCACTGCTTTAAGGAGCTCCAGTGCTATTCTAAGGCCTCAATTGGGAAAAACCTCCATATTTAGGAAATAATTTCAAGAGTTTTTTAACTTTAGACTCATATGTTGAAGCTTAATGACTTCAGTAAAGTCAAAGTAAAGAATGTGAGGCTTCATACCCGCTTAATATTAGGAAGACAGCTCCACTCTGACAAAAACTATGAAACCAATCAAAGCAAGCATCTTCTCCTACAGATTTAGTATCTACACTGAAACATTCAGTTTAAAAGGGAGTCAGTAATGGGAAACTGAGTAATGGGTAGGATTGAAGGAAAATAATTTTATCCATATATCAGAAAAATACCAAATACTACAAGTTTGAAAATGCTATGCTTAAAATTTTAAATGAATAAAAGACTTGTGCTTTTTATTACTCTCTTAATCTTTCCCACAGCTCTGAACAAGCCCAGCCATTCCTATTTACCATAGTTTCCTGCACTGAAGCCATTCCTTGTTGTTGCTTGAACTCCTGTTTATAAACCCACTTCCTTTCAATAGCTGTTCAGCTGCTCTGTTCTGGCCACTGCCTAATCCTTGTGCCTATTTTAGAGCCCTGCCATTGCTCTCAATGACTTTTTCTTCCAGGCCTTTCAATCCTCTCTCCCTGGTTTATGGGTTTTGTTCCATGCTTCTTTGCATTTCTTAATCCAAATGGTTTACTTACTACCATTTATTCCTTTTTTCCTTTTTGTTTTTATTAATTAAAACCTATTTGCATTGTTTTTCCAAAGAATTTTCACTGTCTTTTGAGAAAAGGAAAAAATGGAGAAATGGAGAAATGTATTATAAAAGAACATGTGAAAATCTATAACATGTACTTGAGAAGGTCTTCTGGAACAAAGAGTCCAAATAAATCAAATAAAATCATTTTACTACAACATTGTGAGGTTAAATGTCTGTAAAATTCCTATTGAATTTGATGGGGGTGAAGCTAGGTTCCTTATTTTCCAGTATAAAGTCTGCACTATTGTTAGTTGGCTATATAATTTCAGTCAACTTCCTATTTTACCTGTAGGAATCCAGGCATTTAAAACTTGTCATGGTCATGAACTCTTTAAGGTGACAGTCAGTTAATAGTATCTGCATATATTCAACATAAAAGAAATCAAAGACTAACATTAAAACAACTCAATAGTTGAAGACCTAATATTGATCATAAAGCCATGATCTTCTTTTGTGGCCCCAGCATGACTTTAATGTGATACAAAATGAAATATTTAAAATGTGTTTAAAATGCAGATCATATACATTTTTTTTCTCTGTAAGCAGCAGTACTGTAGTAGCTTAAAAACACTTATATTTGTAGTATCAGCTGGGAAATGGGTCAGAAAAATGTCCTGCAGTTACAGAGATGTATTTATGTGTATTTATGGTCTACTTCATTCAAAAAAATGAATCTTGAATCTTTCTTAGTTATGTCTGTGCAATACTATGGTTCTTTTTCAGCTGTGGAGTTTTTTCACATCTATCAGGCTATCTAAAGCTACTTGACATTATTAAGATGCATTTAAAGAACTAAATAGACCTTTCTGTGCTGCTACACATAAAACCATGAAATGAAAAAAACCCGAACAACCACCAACACCAACACCAAAGTCTTCTTTGTCCCAAAGCAAATGAGTTGAAGAAATCATCATCTTCAGTTGGTTCTTTGGATGGAAAGCTCCCTTGTAATTGTGATTAGAGCTACAGCATCTTAGTAGTAGGGAGATTTTTTTTTCAGTAGCAGCAAATTGAGCAAACACAGAGTCTGTCTCCGACAGTCCACTTTCAGATTTCCCCAAGCGACATTTATAATTTGGCTTGTTTGTATGCAGAAACAAAAGCTTCAGAAGTCCCCTTATTAAAGAACTGCTCTTTACAGATGGCAGTGCTCTTGTAGCTTACTTAGAGCAAGACCCAGAGATAATGGCATCTTGTTTTGCAGCTGTTTCTGTTAACTTTGGCTGAGCAATCAGTGTTTCAAAGGCTGGTATTATGTGCCAAAAGCCACCAAAAACAAAAGTCTGTTGACTCAGAAGAAAAATGTCACTGCTACTAAACCAAACTGAGCTATAGCTCTACTGCTTGAGATGGCTTCTTATGGGCTTGGGCTGCCCCAGTGATCTCTTCATCACAGCTCAGTAGTGAAGTACTATCAGTTTATCATTTCACCAAATATATTCTTTCATTGCAAGCTAGGCAAAGATTCCTAGCACTATTCATACAGCTAAATGTATTTCATTCATCTTCTTTAACAGCTAGAGTGAATAGATTTTAAAATGTTTCATTGCACAGAAGCAGGAGATGGAGATTTGCTTCAGTAACCAGCTGATCTTTGCACTCTGCAGCAAAATATTTCTTTAAGCAGCACTGAACAGAAAGGACCAATAGTAAGATTTTAAGACTAGGAGTCATAAACCCCACCTGTATCTCTCAAGAAATGACATTTAACATGAAGTATTTGGAACATGTCTGTTTCTAGTGATGGATAATCCCAAGGTTATAAATCATGGCAAATTCACAATAAATTATCAAGATTAAAGTTAAACAATGACATGCTAGTTTTTACTTAGTTTGCTGACCCACAAACTCTTTAATGTTTCTTTTTAATGTTGACATCCACATGTCATGGGTTTATTGTAATGCGATGTCCCTAAAACTTTGTTTTTTATCTGTAAATAATTACTTTTAGAAATTGATCCTGAGTCAAGAAAGCCTTTGAGCACATGCTTGTTCTCAATAAATGAGACTTATGTAGAGATTTAGTGGTAATTCCATACTTAAGAAGTTTTGTAAAAATAGCACATTGATTGCTTTCTCAAGTAGAAGTTTGTAATTTTGTTTGTGTTTTACTTAGTTTATAATGTCATATATTTTTCTGAAGGTAAAATGAAATCACAAGGACTTGTGCTTTATAACTTTTTTTATTTAATTGGTCTACTTCATATTTGTATGAAAATCTTAGTTAAGCTGAAACTAAAGATCAAAATGTAAATATTAGTAGTAAAAAGGTCCCAAAAACTTGCACCTCATAAGACAAGAGTGCCTATAGAAGCTTATACTGCTGAAATTCAATATGGTATGGTTTGACTTAAAGCCTCTGAGCATTTGAAACCACTGAGTATGGGTGAATATAAGCCCACCTTCTAAAAGAGGCAAATATTTCAGGTGGAGAATTGTAACTAAATATAGAACAAGGTAGATGTGTTCCAATAAAATTGATTATCTTATTTGTGAGTTTGGGTCGTGTCTCTTCTCTATTATAAGTACAGTCAATGTGGTCAGTATAATGTGAATAAATGAATTTTATGTCTATTAATTAAGTGAACCCATTTCTTATTTTTTAATAAGAATTTTGAAATG